TGGGATCCTGGACTATGGTTTGACAGTGAACATTTGTGGGATCCTGGACTATGGTTTGACAGTGAACATTCGTGGGATCCTGGACTATGGTTTGACAGTGAACATTTGTGGGATCCTGGACTATGGTTTGACAGTGAACATTTGTGGGATCCTGGACTATGGTTTGACAGTGAACATTTTTGGGATCCTGGACTATGGTTTGACAGTCAACATCTGTAGGGGCCTGGACTATGGTTTGACAGTGAACATTTGTAGGGACCTGGACTAAGGTTTGACAGTAAACATTTGTGGGATCCTGGACTTTGGTTTGACAGTCAACATTTGTGGAATCCTGGACTATGGTTTGACAGTCAACATTTGTGGGATCCTGGACTTTGGTTTGACAGTCAACATTTGTGGGATCCTGGACTATGGTTTGACAGTGAACATTTGTGGGATTCTGGACTGGTTTGACAGTCAACATTTGTGGGATCCTGGACTATGGTTTGACAGTCAACATTTGTGGGATCCTGGACTATGGTTTGACAGTGAACATTTGTGGGATCCTGGACTATGGTTTGACAGTCAACATTTGTGGAATCCTGGACTATGGTTTGACAGTGAACATTTGTGGGATCCTGGACTATGGTTTGACAGTGAACATTTGTGGGATCCTGGACTATGGTTTGACAGCCAACATCTGTAGGGACCTGGACTATGGTTTGACAGTGAACATTTGTGGGATCCTGGACTATGGTTTGACAGTGAACATTTGTGGGATCCTGGACTATGGTTTGACAGTGAACATTTGTGGGATCCTGGACTATGGTTTGGCAGTCAACATTTGTGGAATCCTGGATAATGGAGTTTAAACACAGTGGGGCTGTTGCCATATCAAGTCTTGTCTTGATCTCTTTGTTACAGCTAATATTATGTCATCACAATCAATTTTTTTGCACATAGGTATCCCCGTGAGTGCTCAGTCCTCTGATGCAGCAGCCACTCCAAGGTACCTCTACTGATTGTTTCCATGAGGAACTGGTTATAGTATCTTCTGCCTTTACATCAAAGATGACATAGACGTGCTTCATTGAGCTTAGCATCTTAATGTGCTTCACTGAGCTCAACTCCTCAGTCACCCAGTTGTGTTGGTGTCATAGATCATCATTCCCCCCCCCCCCCCCCCCCCCCCCCCCCCCCCCCCCCCCACCCCCCCCCCACCCCACCCCCCCCCCCCACCCCCCCCCCCTCCCCCTCCCCCCCCCCCCCCCCCCCCCCCCGCCCCAGTTGGATTACTTGCAAGCCTTCAGCTCACTTTACCATTTACTTCGGCCTGCCCTGGTGTGTAGATCCAGATGATGGAGGTTAACTGCAGAATGCCTTCTACTCATTCAGAGTGTAGAATGTTCATGGAGTCTGCTTTTGATATGTGCTTAAAGTTTAAAAAGTGGAAACCACATGACATCTTCTTCTTCTGCCTTTCTAGCCCCCAGTGGAGCATAGGCCCTCAACAACCTCACACCAAGACATTCTATCTTTTGCTATGGCTATGGCATGCAGTTTTCCCCCATGTCCCAGCCGCTCCACTCTCTAGCTCCCTTCTCCATGTGTATTTTGGTACAATACACACTAGTTAACAAACCAATCCACAGTTTTTGGTACAATACACACTAGTTAACAAACCAATCCACAGTTTTTGGTACAATACACACTAGTTAACAAACCAATCCACAGTTTTTGGTACAATACACACTAGTTAACAAACCAATCCACAGTTTTGGGTACAATACACACTAGTTAACAAACCAATCCACAGTTTTTGGTACAATACACACTAGTTAACAAACCAATCCACAGTTTTTGGTACAATACACACTAGTTAACAAACCAATCCACAGTTTTGGGTACAATACACACTAGTTAACAAACCAATCCACAGTTTTGGGTACAATACACACTAGTTAACAAACCAATCCACAGTTTTTGGTACAATACACACTAGTTAACAAACCAATCCACAGTTTTTGGTACAATACACACTAGTTAACAAACCAATCCACAGTTAGAGGAACCCAGAGTTTAAACTTGTCATGTCCATGTGGCAATACACACTAGTTAACAAACCAATCCACAGTTAGAGGAACCCAGAGTTTAAACTTGTCATGTCCATGTGGCAATACACACTAGTTAACAAACCAATCCACAGTTTTTGGTACAATACACACTAGTTAACAAACCAATCCACAGTTTTTGGTACAATACACACTAGTTAACAAACCAATTCACAGTTAGAGGAACCCAGAGTTTAAACTTGTCATGTCCATGTGACAATACACACTAGTTAACAAACCAATCCACAGTTAGAGGAACCCAGAGTTTAAACTTGTCATGTCCATGTGGCAATACACACTAGTTAACAAACCAATCCACAGTTAGAGGAACCCAGAGTTTAAACTTGTCATGTCCATGTGGCAATACACACTAGTTAACAAACCAATCCACAGTTACAGGAACCCAGAGTTTAAACTTGTCATGTCCATGTGGCAATACACACTAGTTAACAAACCAATCCACAGTTTTTGGTACAATACACACTAGTTAACAAACCAATCCACAGTTACAGGAACCCAGAGTTTAAACTTGTCATGTCCATGTGGCAGTACACACTAGTTAACAAACCAATCCACAGTTTTTGGTACAATACACACTAGTTAACAAACCAATCCACAGTTAAAGGAACCCAGAGTTTAAACTTGTCATGTCCATGTGGCAATACACACTAGTTAACAAACCAATCCACAGTTACAGGAACCCAGAGTTTAAACTTGTCATGTCCATGTGGCAATACACACTAGTTAACAAACCAATCCACAGTTACAGGAACCCAGAGTTTAAAACTTGTCATGTCCATGTGGCAACACACACTAGTTAACAAACCAATCCACAGTTACAGGAACCCAGAGTTTAAACTTGTCATGTCCATGTGGCAATACACACTAGTTAACAAACCAATCCACAGTTACAGGAACCCAGAGTTTAAACTTGTCATGTCCATGTGGCAATACACACTAGTTAACAAACCAATCCACAGTTACAGGAACCCAGAGTTTAAACTTGTCATGTCCATGTGGCAATACACACTAGTTAACAAACCAATCCACAGTTAGAGGAACCCAGAGTTTAAACTTGTCATGTCCATGTGGCAATACACACTAGTTAACAAACCAATCCACAGTTACAGGAACCCAGAGTTTAAACTTGTCATGTCCATGTGGCAATACACACTAGTTAACAAACCAATCCACAGTTACAGGAACCCAGAGTTTAAACTTGTCATGTCCATGTGACAATACACACTAGTTAACAAACCAATCCACAGTTACAGGAACCCAGAGTTTAAACTTGTCATGTCCATGTGGCAATACACACTAGTTAACAAACCAATCCACAGTTACAGGAACCCAGAGTTTAAACTTGTCATGTCCATGTGGCAATACACACTAGTTAACAAACCAATCCAAAGTTACAGGAACCCAGAGTTTAAACTTGTCATGTCCATGTGGCAATACACACTAGTTAACAAACCAATCCACAGTTACAGGAACCCAGAGTTTAAACTTGTCATGTCCATGTGGCAATACACACTAGTTAACAAACCAATCCAAAGTTACAGGAACCCAGAGTTTAAACTTGTCATGTCCATGTGGCAATACAGACTAGTTAACAAACCAATCCAAAGTTACAGGAACCCAGAGTTTAAACTTGTCATGTCCATGTGGCAACAAACCCTTACAAACAGAAAAACAAAAGTAATCAAAACCAAAAGTTGAAAGGGGTCTGCTTGACCAAGAACATCATCACAAATAACAAGATGAACACAGCAGCTAGAAAACTGCTTTCAGTACACACAAACAAATGTACGATGATATACAATTACAAGAAATGGCATAAAAATTGATCTTGTCACTGGCAACTGTGTTCTTGAGAACCTTCCTGATTCTGCTGTCCTATTGGTTGATTCTGTGAGTGCAGTTTCACAGCATTCAGCTCATGTCACTCATTGACAGAAGAACTGTAATCTGATGCATAGCTCAACACAAGACCACCACTAATCAAGTCATTCAATTAAACCCACAACCCAACGCAGACAAATTGTGCCAGATATAGTACCTCACACCTCAAGACATTTTCAGGAAGTGTCGGGATTGGACAGGGGGTGGGCGGAGCCCTGGTGTGGGTCAAGCTATTTGCCTCATGTTTTATGGTTGTGTCATTCTGTTTATGAGTGCAGTTTTTACAATGATTCCTGTGGTATTGTCTTTGTGTGGCACCCACAGCAGGTGGCTAGTCACTGGGCAGAGAAAGACCAACAGTCCTCTTGATCTGTGTCAATGCACAGGTTATGTGTCAATGCACAGGTTATGTGTCAATGCACAGGTTATGTGTGATTGTGCTTCTTGATGTTTGGTCACAGCATGCTAAAGAATCCTGACTATACACTTGTAAATAATTTGCATAATGTGGACTTCTGTGACAATATTCTTATGATGATGATGTTGCTGTCTTCCATGGCACCGTCTGTGACTTCTGGTACCTGCCATGCGTCATCACAACCAAAGATGTCACGTTCTGTTAAAGACCTCACTAGATGATGATGTTGCTGTCTTCCATGGCACCGTCTGTGACTTCTGGTACCTGCCATGCGTCATCACAACCAAGGTTGTCAAGTTCTGTTAAAGACCTCACTAGATGATGATGTTGCTGTCTTCCTTGGCACCGTCTGTGACTTCTGGTACCTGCCATGCGTCATCACAACCAAGGTTGTCAAGTTCTGTTAAAGACCTCACTAGATGATGATTTTCCATACCTGACTGTCTCGATGTTTCTGTCTCCGTCATCCTTTACCTCTTCCTCCATTATTTATCTCAGCTGTCACTAAGACCTCTGGTGGTCCTCCAAACTCCTGAAGACAGTGGGAGCAGATCTATTCTACCAAAACATTCAACAGCGACTGAGTTCATCTACAAATTCTGTGAGTAGTACATGACCCCCAAAGAAGTGCTGGAGAACCAAACCGTAAGCACCCACCACAGAAAGAAGTTCAGTATGCCTCTGTACCAAACTGGGGTAAATATGCCTCGGATATCACCAAGAGTGCTGGTAAACTCAGCTGCCGAATCCATGATGGTTCCCAGGGTGCTGTTTTCTCCGCCCAACTTTGGCAGTTTCATCCCTGGTTTTGAAGTTGGGGTGAAGAAGCTGACAGCCGTTTCTCCAAACAAGCTCACCCATGACAGACCTCCAAGAGTTTTGAGAAGGAAGGTCAAGAACAAAATTAACAGCACCGGAGCCACATACTGGATGGCTACCACACACAGATAGAAGAACACCCTAGCAATTGTTTTCTGTAGCTCAATATTTGTGATGCGTCCACTTTCCTTTTTTATGCTCTCAATTTTCTCGTGAGCAAGGTTGAGGTGAGCCTGCATAAACTTGGGCATGAGGAGGATGCGAAGTCCACACATGACGACAACAAGCAGTAGTCGGAAACCTTCAAACTGATCCTCATAGAAGACTGGCTTCACCTTAGAGAAGGTTTTCCCACACAGGAGATCCCGTCCAACAGGTTTCACCCAGAGCAGAATCAGCAGCAAGGGCAGCAGATAGTTGATCTGGAGAAGCAGCTGTGTGATCTTTCGATCCTGGCTGTACTTGAGTGTGTCTACATGCAGCTTGGCCAAACGCAGGCCAGGAAATGTTAACAAGGTACCAACCAACATGCCAAAAAATGCTAGGCTGATTTTAAATGTGAGGAAGGAAACAGGCCCATGAGATGTCATCCCTTGCTGTTCCAGAAATTTGGTTGCACTTGTGGAGAAATTCTTGTAGCCTTCCTCAATCCCAAACTCAATGACGTTGTCTCCAACGATCAACACACCCATGGCAAACACCAGGAAGAAGAAAGTGAAAGTCACCAGCAGTATTCTCTCCCCTCCTTCTTGGGTTCTCAGATAAATCCACGCCTGACTAGCCAGGACACGAACACAGAAAGCCACTGCTAGAAGGCACCACAAGATACTCAAATTAAATTCAAGTCTGTGAGGGGTGATGATGAAATAGATCTCTGTGAGGACATAGATGACCAGTGAGCACAAGGAGAAGTCCATCAGCCAGGTGTATTCAGAGTAAAACTGCAGTGGAACCAGATCAATGTCTTCTACCAGAGCTTGGTCCAACTGAATAGGCAGGTTTCTCGGCACTGTAAATGATTCTGATTTATCTGCTTGTGCACTGGCAGCATTCCTTCTCTGCTCTGCTCGGCGTTTTGCCTTGGAGGTCTGGCCTGTGGTTTTTCCTGGTTGGTTGCCTGAAGACAGCTGCTTGAGCTCATCATTGGTTGGGTGCAGATAGCGACTGAGACGTTTAGACAACAGCCATCGTCCTACAGAGAAGTACGGAGCTAACTTGTGAAGAAAGGTGAACATCACCAGGCTGAAGACTACTTGTAGTCCCAGAACTGCCATTGTGATGAGTGCTGGCTGTAGAATAAACAACAGGCACATGTTATCTCTGGCAACAAACATATTTGCAGAACAGAATACAAGCGTGTTATCTCTGGCAACAAACATATTTGGAGAACAGAATACAAGCCTGTTATCTCTGGCAACAAACATATTTGGAGAACAGAATACAAGCCTGTTATCTCTGGCAACAAACATATTTGGAGAACAGAATACAAGCCTGTTATCTCTGGCAACAAACATATTTGGAGAACAGAATACAAGCCTGTTATCTCTGGCAACAAACATATTTGGAGAACAGAATACAAGCCTGTTATCTCTGGCAACAAACATATTTGGAGAACAGAATACAAGCCTGTTATCTCTGGCAACAAACATATTTGCAGAACAGAATACAAGCCTGTTATCTCTGGCAACAAACATATTTGCAGAACAGAATACAAGCGTGTTATCTCTGGCAACAAACATATTTGCAGAACAGAATACAAGAATAGTTTGGAATAGATGCACACAACAGCCAAAGATAGAACAATCTGATCCCACTTGGTTGTGCTTGCACGCTCAGCTGAGGAATACAAAACTGATTTCTTCAATTAGGGTGCATCGATAAACTGTTTGCCTGGAGACAGGAATTTGCTGTGCAACTTTTGAAATGTTTTCACTAGTATTAAGGTAGCCAATGATCAAATTCTGTGAGGCAGGACATGATAGTAAAACAGCAGTTAATACAGATCTAACAATTGTAAATTCAGTGCCAGGACATGATAGTAAAACAGTAGTTAATACAGATCTAACAATTGTAAATTCAGTGACAGGGTTTCATCTTCGCAACAACAATAAACAATTTGGAGAAATACATTTGAAGCTAACTTAAGGACCATAAATGACATAAAAGTGCACCTGATTTAACAACCAAATGAAAAGTGAATACTGTTAATGGTTTTACCAACTTCAGGTAAGTGACACATAAAAATTACATTGAATCTGAGTGAGTCTTTTCAGAATATACGCTTTACAAAAGTGGGCTAACCTCCGAATTACGGTCCCAAATTATCGAGGTTGAAAATATACCCTAACAGGGCCTCAGTCACATGTAAACAGCGGACCTCTTCTGGCGACTACACAGAATACAGCCTAGAGTATCTCCCGCGCGCTGGGACTCATCAGCAAATAAAATTAAGGAAGCTGCGGTAGCTGCTGCTTGTGAGTCCCAGCCATCTAGTTTAGCCCCGCAATTTACATGTGACTGAGGCCCAGTTAGGGTATATTTTCAGCCTCGATAATTTTGGACCATTATTCGGAGGATAGCCCAAAAGTGTATTCCAAGAATGGGTACTATAAAATGTAGGGTGAAAGCAGCCGGGATTAGCCTAACAGGGAAACTATGAGGCTACCATCATATACCAAAATTGGCTCTCCTCCGAACTTCTATCCGATATTATGGCGGCCAAACAAATACCCTAACAGAGCCTCAGTCCTATGCAGAATACGGACTTCCTGCGACGGATCTAGGATCGGCTCCGAATAACGAAACAAATGCTCTAACAGGGTCTCAGCGATATGTTTATTGCAGACCTGTCTCATGGCGCGGAAAAGGAGTCTCTTACAACTCCCTCAACCAAAATGCATGAACTGGCTAAAAGATCAAGAGGCCAGTGACATTTAAACTTACTATGTGTCTTTTTCCTTCGCTGCTTTCTGACTAACGATGCACTAGATAGACTCACTAGTCTTGTCTTTTGCACCAAATGAAACAACAGCAGTCCTGTGTTAAACCTGTGAGACTGAAACCTGTGAGGTGTGAGATATTATTTACTGGGATTGACGGAATCAGCACCACGAAGTAGCAGAAGCTGACGACGACAAGCCGGCTCGGCCCCGAAACAAGCTGCAGGTCTGGCGTCTGCCATTTCTTGACATTGGGGAAAGGTTAAGGTTTGCGACCCGGAACCGGAAACAAAGAGTTCCAGCCAATAGTAAGCTAGTAAAGTGGCATGAACAAAAAAATGGGGAGCTTGAATTGGGAAGCATTTGCATTCTGTCAGGATTTCTAGAACTTGTAGGTAAATGTGAGGGAACTAGAACTTGTAGGTAAATGTGGGGAATCTAGAACTTGTAGGTAAATGTGGGGAATCAAGAACTTGTAGGTTAATGTGGGGAATCTAGAACTTGTAGTATGTGGGGAATCAAGAACTTGTAGGTAAATGTGGGGAATCAAGAACTTGTAGGTTAATGTGGGGAATCTAGAACTTGTAGTATGTGGGGAATCAAGAACTTGTAGGTAAATGTGGGGAATCAAGAACTTGTAGGTAAATGTGGGGAATCAAGAACTTGTAGGTAAATGTGGGGAATCAAGAACTTGTAGGTAAATGTGGGGAATCAAGATCTTGTAGGTAAATGTGGGGAATCTAGAACTTGTAGGTAAATGTGGGGAATCAAGAACTTTTGGGGAATCAAGAACTTGTAGGTAAATGTGGGAAATCAAGAGCTTGTCTGTGAATGTAAGGAGTATACAGCTTGTATGTAAATGTGGGGAATCAAGAGATTGTCTGTGAATGTAAGGATATACCCTTTCTCTACATTGCATTCGGTTTTGTGTGCTCAGGTCAGACCGTCGGGTGGGCAACCTCTATGAACTCACATGTCAGTTGCAGGTCCTGCGTGGTTCCCTGTAGCTTGCTCTGCACACTTTGTTCTTGGGGCCAGTTTTTTTCGAAGTTGTAAGTAGAGTAAGCAGGTCTGCAAAATGAGCTCACGTGTTTGTGGTCCCGTCTGATACGCACACTATCGGGACTGTACAGTGTTTACTTATGCATGTGATAGTTAAACCTGTTCTTAGACGGAAAACTATTCTATGTTGCTTTTCTGTTGAGACTTTGATGGAGTCTTGAGGGTGTTTTACTGTTGGTTTATTCTCTCCATAATCCCGTGTATGTCTTCTTGATAAGTGTTTTGATTTCTGGTAATGAGTACTGGCAATGAAAGGGTGTGTTGTTTTCTCCTTTGTTGCTTTGTGCTTTTGTGTGTGTGTGTGCGTGCGTGCGCGCGCGTGCAAATTTGTCTACCAGCTTATTTCCTGATATGCCGCAGTTTTCTGAGAGTTTATTTAGTTGGTAGGTCAGTACTGTCTCTCTGCGTGTTGTCTCGTGGATCTTTCTGAGTCGCCTGAGCGACTGACATGCACGCATGAGAGCCAGTTTTGCTGTCCTATATTTGCATCACGGCCTTCTCTATTAGAGAAGGCAGTGATTTGTATTATGGACGTGGTCATGGATTTGTGCATTGACTATTAGGTTACATTTTTCAGCCTCTCTGACTATGTATGGAATTGTTGTCTTGACTGTATAATTAGGCTGTAGGTACACTTCCATGTCTGAATCATTTCCAACATTGCTGGGTCTTTAGAGAGGATGTCGCTGTTTTTGGCACAGAATAAGTCTGATAGACTGTGGAATTGTCTTTTCAGTCGGTAAAAAAAAAATATTTTTAAGACGGATATACAGTCAGATTGTTACTGGTACCCAGGCATTAGGACTGCACTGGCTGCTGCAGATAAGGTTGGGGCACTTATGGGAATTACCGAGAGCTGCAATGTCGGTTCTTAACTCCTCAACTAAACTTATGTTCATGCTGTCATTTTCCTATGTGAACAGTTTGTGTTACATCTGTGGCTTAAAGGAATCCTTTGTTTCCATGCAGGGGCGAAAACTGGGACACACCAGCCATGGATGTCAGATGGGACAGTCCAGTCTGTCTTGCTCATCTGCCATAACCATGCTAGTTACAGACTGCACACAGAGGATACACAACTCTTCGGAAACATTTGCAACCCAGGTCTTGCTGGGCCCTGACCTGGTGCTGGCAGACATACGATCACATCGGTCAGCGACTTCCTCCAGGGCCTGTCCACCCACAGCTACCCCACACCAAGGTCGACCACATGTCCAGAAGTACCTTCTGTCCTTGCATTCGAAGGTAGAAGATTATGAGCACCACACATGTGCATCAGCTCTTGATACAACACACAGTATCGAGTCTTTTGGAACATCACACTGTAGCATTCCTATAGACGGTGCAGAATCGTTTTGTATTCCTCTGTTTCAGAAACCACACAGTTTTGCTCATTCTTGTACGTGTGTGAATAATAATTCATCAACATCGCCGGTAATCAATCTGGACTCATCAACAATGAAATCGTCAACATCCAGTATCACAGATGCACCACAAGCAACTGCTGTACCTGCAGTGCAGACAGGAACCAGAGATATGCCAGATGCCTCCGTAGTTTCTGGCCAAAGCATACTGAATGCGTTTGACGAGATGTATGTTCAAGTTAGGCCGAGACCTGCGCATGAACACAGCCGCATCACTATTCGCCGTTCACTTTTGCCAGGTGCTCTTGAAGGGACACATTCCTTGGCCGACGCTTTAGACCAGCTTGAATCTTCGGATATTGGCAGCACAGCATCTGCTGTAGACTGTCCCACAATAAGGTCTGAACCAGATAAACCTGCGATAAAAGTCAAAGAAGTCGAATCCAACTGCTGTGAACCAGAACCGGTGTCGTCATCTGTTGATGAGGCGTGTGTGCGCTACACCTGTAGTACAAAGGTAAGAGAAACTAGCTGTGGCTGGGATGAGCCAGAACCTCGGTCGTCCGCTGTTGATGCAGAGGCCATTTTACCGCCACAAAATGATGCAAAACTTGGAGCTAGCGTGATGCTGAATCAACATACTCATGATTGTGATACCACTGATAAAGAAGTTCATACACTGTCCGAAAACATGGCCGTGCCAGGTTCTGAAAATGCGACCTGTGGCTCTGTTCATGGATCTCCACAAGAGCCCGGTGTTAAGTTGACACTTCCATGTTTGCCAACAGGTTGTGGGCTCAATCAAGCCGGTGTACTTGACGTCAGTGTGGCAAACGGGGAGCAGATGACAGGCAGTGAGTCCAGCAGATCTGTGAAGCGGGAGTCCTTGAGCGAAACCACGGGAATGGA